GACTACAGCTCTAATAAATTTGACTGTGTGAATGGTTAAATGATAAATAAGTGAATTTTAAGTGGTTTAACAAACAAAACATTCCTGTGAAAATGGTCGGGTACAAAGCCTTGCCTAAAAATGAGTGAAAAATCAGTACTATTATATGTGGTGAAAACACCACTTTTAAAGCATCCCCACCTCTTTTAATGTCTCACAGGAGCAGCACAGAAATTGTCACAGCCCATCTCGGTTTTCATCACTATATTCTCTCAGCAGAAAAGAGGATTGGATTTAAGCTATCTATAGCACGTTTGCAATCTCCTGGCAGCCCATACACACTTTCACTCATTGTCATGTGTGCTATCCCACTGATAAGCCTGTATCTAACCTTACATACGCACAATGGCTCCTTTACAAATTAATCACATAAAAAATATAATTGTTGAAGCCTGCGGCTGGTCCATATATCATTTTAAGAGTGGGGAGAGTGGAGGTTTGGGTGTGTGGGTGAACCTCAGAAATTATTCCAAGAAGAGCAGGCATGAGACACACTGGCCCAGCTTTTTGATTCATTTAAAGGTCTCAGAACTTACTCTGTATTGCCCAGGGGAGAGTTAGGCTGCTGAATAATGGATGCAAAACAAGGAAGACACTTTAAATGTGAGACTTCTTGTACTAATAATCAGAGTGATGCAGTGGCAGAGACTGTCTAAGAAAGCAAAAATTACACTGTTCTGTCTGCATTCTCCCTCGAGCCATTACAGATACAAGCATGTTTGAAAAAAACATTTCTACATATGACAGGATGCATTTAATTGATTGTTGTATATCTGAAAGCTGACACCGTTTTCATAAAGAAATTTAGTTGTTTCTTGGAAGCTTTTTATGCATTGCAAAACTTTATCTCGAAACTTGAAGCCAGGGCTATTTCTGTATGTGGGAAATTGCCCAGGGAAAAATTTACTGTCAACACCTCCATTGGAACAGGGACCACTTTATATTTAGCACTTTGATTTTAAAATACTCCCTGACAAAAAGGTTAGAACAGAAATTGAAGAAGTCCTTTATAATAGGCAATGATTAAAATGATCTGATTGATACTCTTTGAATACAAAGACGCATCTTTTAAACACTAACAAAGAAAAGAGAAATTAAACACACCATCGTGTCTCCTATTAATAACATATGCTTGCAAGTATTGAGCAAATTTGAGGAATGAGATATAACTACATACACAAAGATCAAATGCTTCTAATTTATTAATTTATCAGAACGTACTGCATAAATCTGTTTAACACACTACATTTAGTCCCATATTGTAAGATCAAAATATATACATATATACACATATATACATGTATATATGTGTATATATATACAGGCAGTGAGAACTGATCTCGCTAAACAGCAAAATGTTTTGCTGTTATTTTTTATCAGCAAAATATTCTCATTTGAATTTATAGGCAGAGCTTTCAGCTATCAGGCTCCACTCCTGTGTAGCCAGCTCTCACTTTCATGAAACAGACACCATCTCTCCTTTTAAGATCAGGTTTAAAAGTTTCCTTTCAGCTTAAGATTGTAGTGAGGGCT